TAATACTTTATAAATTTTTATCTCAAAACTTGAAATCCAGTTTTTATTGCGGGTACTTCTTAAATTGAGCAGAAAAAGGTAAAACAGGAAATTTAGGTAGAAGATAAAAGTGATTGGGGAAGCAGTTTGGTTGTGTGCAGGCGAGGCAAAATTCCGAATGAAAATAACAGTGGGGGTATGTAACCCATGGTAAGCCAGCAGCTGTCTTTTATAAAGTGCGCATAGATGATTTTTTTTAAAACACTTTCTGTGAAGTAATGTTGTTCTTTCGTGAATTCGTAATGAGTCGGGAATTAGTCCAGCTATTTTTTTTTAAGTTTTCAAGTCTTCAGGTTTTTGGGTTCTTAACGATTTTATACAAACCTGGACAACGAGTGCATCAATCAATTCCTCACCAAGCTGTTCCCAAACTGCCTGTCGAAAGCCGAATTTTTTCAAGCCAGCATGGCATACACCTGCAACAAAAAATAGACAAAATCCGGCTTAAAAGGAAGGATACTACGAGTCTGACAAAATTTTTATGAAGCCTGACTTATTATTGGCCCTTTGCTGTATATTTCATACTGTTGCAAGTAAATTTTATCGTACTCTCTAGTGCTGAAGACACTGTGAATCTTTTTTATCCCTTTAGCAGAAAATAATGATGAAGCTGAATCTAAAGATTTCTTTGGATCCGCATTCATCCAAGAGCATATATGTTTTACACATCATTAGGGTTTCCGAAAGTGACAGCCTAAAGTAAAGCTTTGCTCTGCTACTGGTGTCTGTCTTGTAGGATGTACTGCACACGCAGATTTAATCATTTAACGTGTTATAGAACAGTTACGATGCTCGCCATGACTTGACTTTCTAAGATTTATTATGGTAGATTAGAAATTCATAGAGTAGGTCATAAAATGATTATAATCATTGATCTTCATCCCACACCCCACAGCAGGCTATACGACCAGGATTTGCGCTCATAGCTCCCGCACAACCTTGAGTAAATGTAACAGCTGGATTCTGGGCTTAACTTCGAGTGCTTAAGAAGTACAGAAGTGCAGAAATTATTTCCAGATCTGCCGTTCTGTGCGTAGGAAAAGGATCTAATTTCAAAGTATTAGCATATTGACTTACGTCTTTCTTAGTCAAATTATCAAGATACACAAGTACATGCAAGCGAACATACTCAAGTCCAGCAAATGGATTTGCGCTTGAAAATATTGATGTGCTGTGACTTTAATTTATCCGAATAAAACATCAAAGCCAATCATTTTTTTGCTTTTTTTGAAACGTTTTTTTTTACTGTAATAGTTGGAATCTGGATTTGAGCTTGAGTGTCCTTAATCACTGCTTTTAGAGAGATAATTTTTCGAATATTTAAGCTAGTGCTCAACGAACATACAGGAGACATTTCAATAGGGTTACAAGGATTGCTCGATCTTTTAATGTAAAACCATCAGTTTTTCTGAAATAAGCACTGCTATACACATTGAACATTGCTGCATTTTTTCTAGCACACGTGCACCATTATTACGGCGTGGATGCACAATGTCTTTTGGTTCCTAATCATTTTCTACCGACGAAAAGTGCTGCGTTTTCAGAGTCTGGCACTGGTAAACACATGTGAAACTCAACGTTTTATAGAAGCTGGAGTGGCAGAAAGTTGTTGCTCACAGCCTATTTGTCCAAATTGTTCGCGTGTAACGAGTGAAAACACTAATGTAGCCTGCCGTCGTACTAATTAATCACCATTCAGGTTAGATTAAATCCATACCAATTTTATCGATATGTTCCAGAATATCTACGGATCGAAAATCAAATGAATGAATCACTTGGCTGATCAACGAAATGAAGAAATGAGAATGATCGTGCAGCGTTGCAATTGAATAGCTTTTACGGTGCTCTGATATTCCATTAAAAAAAGCCGCACTATAGAAAATTTCCCGGACTGCTTTATTTTTCTGAAATTTTCGAAAAGTTAGCAAAATACCAGAGGCTAGATTGCTTTCCAAGCAGCCATTTTTGCAGCCAGATTGTGATCGATGCACCAAGTTCCTTGGAGCTCCCAATATGAAATCTGCTGTGTGGGATTCGGTTTCACAGTAAATTCTCAACAATTGCTCATCTTGTCCGCCTTTTCATAATCACTATACAACCGGAGATAATTAATTGATAAGATTTTTCGAACTTTTAAACTTTCATGCATAAATGCACAACGATTTTAATTTCAGTTTTCAAGCTCTGCACAATTTTTTCCGAGAATTACTTCATTGAGACGACTGAAGACCTGGTCCATGATGGCGTTGATACCGCGACATGTCGAGTGTGGGGTTTCGCACAGCTTGCTCCAAGTTACCTTTAGAGCCAAGGCCTGCTCTGGCTTCAGGCCCCATTCATTGGCCTGTAAAAAAGGTATCGTCAGTCTGTGAATTCAGTGGCAATCAGTGCTATGTAGCTTATCGGTTATCAAAGCAAGATATGGTAAAAGTCTTTTTAACAGCTCTACGGCAGAGCTCAGTTTTTATGCGTTTTTACTGTGCAGCACTATGGCGTTGTTACAGTGAGCAAAAACGCATATTGTCGAGAGGGTGTCCCTGTGTGTGTTCAGAAGCGAGTGCATTTTGCGGATTCCGCAGTCATCTTTCAATTTCCTTCAGAACCTTCATCCCAGCCGATGCCCTTTCCTTTTGCATGCGAAAAGAGGCCAAAACATAGCCAATATGAGCTCAAGCGTTGAACAATAATGCAAGAACCATTTCCGCTGTTAACAACTTGTAAGTTTAGCCCAAAAAGGCATGATCACACTGGCAAACCTTATGCGTTGCAGTTTGGGTTATAAATTCTTAACTAGAAAAAGTTGGCTTGGAAGCTATATCAAAGCGTTCAGCATCCCCATCGAGGATGATGGATGTCAAACTATTCATGCAAGACAAAAAACTGTATAAAAAGGCTGCCACTTTTTGAAAATACTAGCGCTGCTCCGGAGTGATCAGATATGATGAAAGCTGTTAAGTGCAGGTAGTCAGTTAACTACGAGATCAAGCAACGGGCGGCACCGTCCGTTCGAGGCCGTATCACTTCGTTTGTGAGATAAAAAGCTTGGGCTGCGCATTCATTAGGAGATTTGAATACACATGTGTTTTAAAAAAAATAAGCGACGTGCCTGAATACAAACGCCAGCAAACGCCAACACTAAATACAAAAGCCAGCACATGAGTAGCCATCAACGGTTTAGCACATTATCTTAGCAGAATCAGCCAAAAAAAAAAAAGATATGACACTACAAGCACCTTGTTTTGAAGCACAATACGAAAACTGTCTTCATATTCAGCTAGTGAATTTCAGCATCAAAAAAAA